CCTAATGCTTCAGCAACCTACCAACAAGTGCTGTCGTTGCCACATCGGGCTGTATCTTTACTAATGGAAAAAGCAACCCTGAGAAAGGTATGTACATAGCTGCCCAGCAAATGTTACAGGTGTGGCTTCTTTGACAAGTCATGCATGGATAGGTATGTACTGATAGCTTATGCAAGTTTTGTCTTTGTTTGCTATTATTCTTATTGGTTGCTTTAGATAATTGCACTTGGCATTGGATCTTTGCTTTTTGTAGTTTTCACTGAATAAGCCCTCATCTTTCAAACAGAACATTAGTATGTTATGCAAGCATGCACTATCAATGTTTAAAGCTTCTCTGTTCTATTAAAATAGAATAAACATTGTTTGTTATGCTATAGTTTTTAAAAATATAGTTCCTCTTTCACTAAATGTAGGAAAGAAGATGGAGAGGTGATAACTTTTATTGCTGCAGATGTAGGTTTTGATATTGAAGTACTTTTCCTAGCACACTGGTGTTAGTTCAAATAGCCCTTATAGGAACAACTGGTCAGAGTTGCTTTAAAAACTAAGTTTAGACAAAAGGTTTTGTAAAAAAAATTATTAAAATAGAATAAAAATGATTTGTTATGCTATACTTTTTAAAAATGTAGTTTCTCATTTACTCAGTGTAGGAAAGGCGTTGGAGAGGTGGTAATTTTTATTGCTGCAAATGCAAGACAACTGGTCATGCAGAGTTGCTTAAAGGCTAAGTTTAAACAAAAAAGTTTATTTTTTAAAAAAATCAGCACAAGGGACATTACTTACACTGAATACAGAGTGTACCTTGTGCTGCTGACTACAGATTTAGTTCAAGTCTGTCTATCCTGATCCCCTCCTACTACAGTAGCAGTATTCTTCTGGTGCTGCGGCGGTTAATACAGATGAAGGACCTGTCATTTGCTCATCAAGAGTGACAACTATGCCCGCTCTTTCTGCCCATCTCTGCCAATCATAGAAGTTGTACTATAGTTTTTATTAATCTATGAATGAGGGATGGGAGGATGAATGAAAAGTCCTCCTCCCCCATACACAGATTGCTTTCCATTGATGGGAGTTATATTACAGCTTCTAGAAATGGTAGAAGGGGCAGAAAGGGCAGGCATAGTTGGCACTCTTTATGACAGATGATGTCTTTTTCTCCAGAATAGTTACATAGTTAGTCTGGCTCAAAAAAGACAAAAGTCCATCCAGTTCAACCATAGAAAAAAAAAAGTTATAATCCTATACCCACAGTTGATCCAGAGGAAGGCATAAAAAACCAGCAAAGCATGATCCAATTTGCTCCTGCTGGGAAAAAAAAATCCCTTCCTGATCCCCCAAGAGGCAATTGAATATTCCCTGGATCAACTTTACCTATAAATGTTAGTATCCAGTTATATTCTGTGTATCTGCCAATTATGATGAAACGCGTCGAAAGAGTCTGTGTCTGTGACATCTTTGCGCACTGTGTTCCCCAGGATGGACTTTTATGAGAAGCACTTTTATTTTTGTGATTCTGTGAGTGCACTCATTTTATAATAAAGATTTTGTATAGCAGTTTTACATTATGTGGATGTGTTTTGATGTTTTCATACATGCCCTCGCCATTTGAGATTGTTACAGGAATGATATTGGCATCCATAAGATGTCCATATGGGAGTCTCTGATTTGAGGATGAGAGAGTGGTGGATGTCCATCCAGTTGGGACTGATCTGGTGATCGGGGGCTTGGAGTCACACATGCTGGTTTTCACACCATACTTAATGTATGTGAGTCCTCTTGCTCTGGTAAGGTTGCATGGTGTGTAATGGTGGAGGATCACTGTCCAAGCATTATTAAATGCCTTTACTGAACGTTTAGAATCATCACAGTGATTGCATTTGGGATTAGACTCTAAACACCACAGTGGTGTGGATATAATCCAGGCTTTTGTTTTTTAAATATTATTCTATATTCACTGTATATGATTGTTCATAACAATGTTTTAGTCAAACAATTTATTTATCCTACACTTTTCATAATTTGTGTTTCACTTGTAGCGCTGCACTATTTAGTATCACTCTTTATGAGTGCTCATGTCAGTTCTCTCAGCTCTGTTAACCTCTGCCCTACCAGAGGATTATAGTAGCAGGGATAAAGGAGATCACAGGATTGAAACTTTCAACTAAATCTGCAAACAATAGTACAGGAGACATTTTTTAAAAACCTTTTTGACCAAACTTTAACGTGAAATGTTCCATCCCAAAGAATGAGAACAAAGCACTGCCTTCATAATCAGCTTCAGCTTCTTTTAAGCCAGCTGGTTCTTTCTCCAAAACAGCTAACCTAAGCAGATCAAAGAGTGCTGTTACCTTTACGCAAATTTCGACTCTTTTCAAAAGTCAACTGCTAAGCCCTTATCTGCGGGTCTGCTGGTATAGACAGAACTGACATATGACTGCTATAGAAGGGGCTTTTGTATCATAGGCATGTGCAAGAGGCTTTGGTCACACCTACTGGAAGAATAACTAGGTCATGAGAACATATTAAAACACATTTTTTGTTAATTGAATATGTCCTAATGAGTTTGTTATACGTTGATAAGATCACATTTGGCACTAGTTTCTATAAATATACTGTATATAAAGGAAAAAATTACTTTAAAGCAAAATTCCAGGCAAACAACTCAATACACATTTGGGAGCTGTTTTACCTTCTAAATTATGTGTAATTTTTTTCAGCCATTCTTGTAACATACATAGTTCTGCCACATTGCATAAACAAGAAGCCGGTTCTGTTAATTTATGGGTCACCTTTAAACTTCCTCTGTGATCTGCCTGCTTGCTAGATAATGCAGTAACCGTTGATCAAACTGGTTCAATGTTCAAAAAGCAAGCTGGTAGTAGACATTTTACAGAAGTTTCAAACCTGAAACAAGAAAACAGGAACACCATGCCTGGATGGTCAACATGGCAATCACAAGACACACTGAATAGGACAGCAATTCATCAAGCAGGTAAAGCATGCTTAATGCATATTTTATATGTATTTGTTTGCAGAAGCTATATTAAAGGAATATAGGAAAAACATTTACAATACAATCATAAAGCATAATTCTCAGGCTTTAGCACAAAAAAGGTAGAGCAATTGTGCAATTAGGTAATCATTTAGAAGACTCTTCAGTAGTTTGATGCCAAATGTAGTGATGCATCATGTACAAGCAAATAGATCAAATGCAGAAACAGAACAGGAAATAAGAACTATTAAAGGAACATAGAATATTGTGCTGTAAAAGGAGAGGCCAACCCATATGGAAGAAAAATATATCTAAAATATATTTGAAATGCTACAATTTTGGTCATATTCAATTTATATTTAAATAAATACACATATATTATATATATATATATAAAAAAAAAGAAGATATATATATATATATATATATATATATATATATACCCACACAAACATATACACACTGTATGTTGAAATGTTTTTTTATTACAAATTATATGAAAATATTTAAAAAATACTTTTCAAATATACTGTATGTCTTTAAAAATCTAAATCTACATTTTTGGAATGCATTTACAAATATATGTAAAAATGTTAAAACTACTTTTTTATATGTTAAAAAAAATCTGAAGAATATATTTTAAAAACACATATTTTTAAAAATATATTTTTTAATATATTCTTCAGATTTTTTTAACATATAAAAAACTAATTTTAACATATATTTTTACATATATTTGTAAATGCACTCCAAAATTGTAGTTTGGATTTTTAAAGACATACAGTATATTTGAAATGTATTTTTAAAAATATTCTTCATATATTTTTGTAATAACAATGCATTTCAATATACAGTATATATATATATATATATATATATATATATATATATATATATATATATATATTTATTGAAATATATTTTGATATTTTGAAATATATTGAATATGGCCAAAATTGTAGCATTTCATATATGTCAATATATTTGGGAAGAATATTTTAAAAATATATTTCAAGTATATTTTTCTTCCATGTGGGAAGCTTTTTGCCTGCCTGGAGTAAAGAAACTGTTTCTAGATTTAGGAAGGAAGAAAAAAACAAAATGGAAAAAATCAAAAAGGCAAAAAGTGCTGCCTACCTATCTGCATAAAGTATCTGTATTTCAGCTGAAGTATTTACCTGTTTACCTGGAGCTTGGCTTTAGGATTCACTCTAGTTTATTGAATATTACATTCTTTGTTTGATGTTCACTATAAATTTGCATAATTTATAAAATCTTACCAGCTACCTCAGAAGCACTGGGTTAAAGCCCAACAGCCGCTAAAACGTTTTTTTTTTTCTTTTGACAGTAAAGCCTCATGCACACAGGACGTTTTGAAAACTCTCCTAGAAGCTTTTCCTCCTGTGTCCAAATAAAAAAATTTATATTTTTTAGTTTTCTAAAAAAAACTTTTTTTAGTAAAATAGGGTAGGGTTAAGTTATTTGTACTATCTATCCTAGTGACAACTGCTCCCCACATTCCTTGTTCTTCTGTCATAGGTCAAATGGGTTATAGACAGAAATAAAAAATTGAAAAAAACAATTGACCCTTGCCATGTCTGTCTAAACCTCAAAGAAAGGTTTGGCTGTAGTTGGTCTTTAAAGTAGAATGCTGGCCAAGTGCTGTTTTTCTTTGAAATGAGTAAAAATGGTTGAACCCCTGGCAGGTTTTTATTGCTGTGCAGGACTTCCTGTCACTTTCTGTACTACTGATAGATGGTCATTGGTGTAGGAAGTAAGAGGAAATCTCCCCAATAACACATAGGCAGCAATACAAATCTGACAGGTTCTAATGATTCCTAACTCAATACAAAAAAAAGTTAAGGTATATTTCCATTTCAAGAGCTCTTTGCTTTAAGGCAACAATTTTTTCTCAATGTGATCAATATTTGTTCAACAATAGAACTTGTTGGTGTATACATTATAATTCTAATGTTAATATACTGTACCCTGGCATTGCCAGTGTATATTATGTATTTAGCAGTACACATGACAATGATATAATTAACTGAGCACCAAACTGTCTTGTTGTGTGTTTGAGGGAGGTGGATGGCAACCAGAATACATCTGTTTGCGGTGTTTTGAGTTTTTCTTCCTCTTGTTTTTCTTGGATTTTTTTTGAACCTTTTTTCTTTGCTTTATTACTCTCCTTGTACCATGGACCCCAAACTCCACCATTAAGTTTAGGGTTACTTCTTGGATCCTTTGGGGGATAACGCACTGGAACTGCAGATTTATTGAACTGTGCAAGTTTTCTAAGTAACTGCTTTACAACCTCTGGGTACTTTCCTGATAAATCAACTCTTTCATATGGGTCAGCTGTTATGTTAAATAGCCACAGGGATTTTCCACCTGAGAGAGAAATCCGCTCATTGTGCCACCGGCTGAGTCCCACATTGGTGAAACTTTGTGGAGGAACCCAGTCTCCATAGCCAGGATTTCCGGTAAGCAGTTTCCAGTGGTTCACTCTAATAGCAGATTGGATGGCAGTATTCCAAATACCAAATCCAGCTGCCCAAGAACCATTTCTTGCTTTGGTGTACATAGGATCTATATTGTGCAGAATGTCCAATCTTGGAGAAGGCTTTTTCTCACTTATTGCTTCCCAAATGTCATATCCATCTAATTGCATGTCTTCATCTATATCTCCACCAGCCAAAGTAACTAATGTGGGAAACCAATCCGTTATATGTATGAGTTCCTTACACACATAACCCTTGTTTTTAAAAAGTGGACTGTGCACAAAACCAACAGCTCTTATACCCCCTTCCCAATATGTGCCTTTGCTACCACGCAAAGGCCAGTTATTACCACCTGCCATTGGTTGCCCACCATTATCTGATGAATAAATAATTACACTGTTATTGTAGAAGCCATATTTTTTTAAAGCAATGGTAATATTTTTGATTGCATCATCTAAGCATGATAACATTGCAGCATATCGTCGCCTATTTAAGTTAGTAATGGATTTATAATTTTCTAAATAAGTTCCAGGAGCTTGTAAAGGTGAATGCACTGCTTGATAAGCTATGTAAAGGAATAATGGTTTCTTAGGATTGTGACTAGCCAAGATTTTCTGCACTCGTTGGGTGTACATCTCAGTAGAGTAAATACCGTGATCATGGTCCCATGCTGCATTATCATTCTCATACAGGTCATATCCACAAGTTCCTGGGCTGTCACATTTATAATGATTGTAGTAATCTCCACTGCCCAAAAGCGATCCGAAGAAAGAATCAAATCCTCTATGCGTTGGCATGCATTCTTTACGATAAAAACCCAGGTGCCATTTCCCTACCATGTGTGTTGCATAACCATTGTCCTTTAGTTTCTGTGGCAAAGTCAGGTTGTCCAGAGGTAGACAGTTTGGTTGAGAAGGCCTTATTATTGAATGCTGGAGACCTGTGTGAATCTGGTATCTGAAAAAGGAGAAACATGCATTAGGTAAACATTGTAATCATTTTTCCTTTTTGCTTTCCTTTTTTAAGTGAATCTGTTGTCAGATTTTGTAAATTTGAGTGTTTACAAGGTCTTAAAAGAGAAGTATGTTTCTTCCCAAAATTATACTTACCTAGTTGGATGCAGCATCAATCTGATGCTGCATCTGACCTTCACTGGCTCTAAAGCTGAGAAATGAATGATCAAACACAGCTGATTGCTCAGTTCTCTCCACCACTCTGAGCAGAGAGCAGAGAATGTTAGTCATCGCTGTCTGCTCTGCCCCTTCAGCACTCACTGGAGAGGGGGTGAGGCGGCTGGCTCAGACTCTCAGCGGCTTGCTGAGAGGCTGATCCGGGTTCTAGTCCAGGCTCCTGGTTGTATCCTGACCACACGGTCGCAATCTTTTCCCAGAATTTGCTGTGTGACATCAGCCGACAGCAGGCTTTATCCTACTGTAAGCTGAAAATGGTTCACAGGAATGCAAAATGAACTGCACTCCTGTGATCCACAGGAGATGTACAGCCAAACAAGCTGTACTTCTCCTTTAATATGCAATAAATGAACTTTTAAACAAGCTCCTACTGATCTCTGTAGCCACAGACACTATGGATAAATCTTTGTAAAGCAGTTATATTATGTCTAAAACACAAAACGTTTGTTTTGGTTTGGGTATAGTGGGGAAGGGTTAGAACCCCTTTTAGTTTTTTTTTTTTTGCTGTTTATCTTCTGGGACTGAAGTGAAATCCCAAATGTTGTGTTGCCACCACAACAGAAATGAAAGTAAGGATCTTAAATGAGAACATCTGTTCCAGTGACAGATTTCCAAGTGATTTACCTTTTGTTAAAGTGGTTTCATCTCGATTCCTGTTGTGTTTACCGGACAAGAATTGAATGAAAATCTCTTGAGTATTACACAAATGGCAAAAAAGAAAAATTCTATCCAAAATGGTAAAATAAAATGTTTGGCTTTAGATTTACTTCACGTTTAAAGCAGTTCAGCTTACCTTGCTTCTCCCTCCCAGAGCATGTACTCTTTGCTTACATTAGATATTTGACAGGAAGGCAGCCAGGTCACTGCTAGAAGAGAGAAGATGTGTGAGCTGAGCTGCTGAGAGAACTGTATCAAAGACTTCAGTGATTCTGCTGTGAACCTAAAGCCAAAGATGGCCACAGATGCATGTGTCACTAGGATACAATAATGAAATTATGAGCCCATTGTAAGAAGTTTAATACCTTTCCAGGGATTCCAGGCTTTACTCACTACAAGCGCTATGATACTACAAGATCCAGTAGCAATCTAGCTGCTGGAGGGAGAAACCACAGTGCCCAGTGCAGGATCAAGTATCAAGTGTTGGATACCAGCGATGCCCTTAGTTCTTCAAGACACATCATCTTTTATAGGGTGCTTGTAATATTATTAGTTTAGCTCACCAATGAGGTTTGTTCAAGGTTTCTTGGAAACCACACTAATCATATCTATTAGCCTCTGTCACTAGTATAATACAGTACAATAACTGAAAATATGAAAGTATAATGTGAATGTTAGATAAGATACACACATATTGCTTCATCTGTTTTAATGAATAGCATGGATTGCACACTAAACACAGTCAATGATGCTAACTACAAATCATAATGCATCCAAGTTCACAATGTAAAAAACGGTAAGTAAAAAAGATCTGGACAGTAACTACCATATGGTTCGTTTTAGCGGGTTATGTATAAACAACATATACATAATACAACTATGTGGATACCACAAGGTCATTACTTTAAGATAACAAAGTATGACAAAAATGCAATCACTAAGTCACAGGAAACAATTAATCTGCACAGGACTAGACTTAGTAAGATAGGCTAATTTGAACTCAAGCCTTTCATCAGTCAGATGTTTATGACCATCAGTCCTTTGTATCTGTAAGTCTATATGTAGACCATCAATCCTTTGTATCTATAGGTCATATGTGTGCACCTCTTATCTTCTGGGAGTCAGAGGTCACAGACCTTAGAACATCAAAGACTAGTGCTGCTATTTGAAGTACACATTCAAGAGCTTCCCTCTTTGTTAGCAATGAGAGAAGAGAACCTAGTGTAATAGAAAACAGCTGTGTTAAGTAGTCCGAGAACCTTTAATGGGATAAGAATTTTAGAGCTGATGAGATGGAATGCCATATAGTTCACTTGTTTTTTTTAAGGACTCTTGGAATAAAGATTCTAATTTTGCCTTGATATCAGCCTCCTTTATTCCACTTTACTGCAGCACTCAGACAAGGAGAGGGAGGAGAAGCACTCCAAATCAATCAAGTGTTGCTGCAGTGTACATTTACTGACAATAAAACATGCTAAGAGGTGGGGAAATCAGGTGGATGGAATTATCAGTTTGCTGCTGCTTTTGGACAATCTAAAAGCTGAAGACATGCTCTTGACCAAGTTGTGGTGCTGATGCAGTGTAGGTTGAACACCTTGCTGAGCTTTTTGGTATGGTACCTGGATTAGAAAACTGTCCTTTTTGTAATTTTGCAAGAGTGCCATGCTTATGTTGCATAGTAGTCTAATACAACATTTTTTCAACGGTCCTCTGATGACTGGAGCATCTGTTGCTGGTTGCTATGTATGCTCTGACCTTTTTCTTTTGTATGATTTATTTGCCTTGTTAGAGGTGAAAATGCTCAATAAATAATATTTAAAAACAAAAAAAAAGAAGACTGGGTGAGCAGAATGGCAAATAATTTGGCAGGTAAAATGTACCTTCCAACTTGAGAACAAAAGGACACTTTTAAGAGATGGCAAAAGGTGAACAGGGTTAAAGTAAAATTAATATTGCGTGTGGCATGAAAGTACATGCTTATATAAAATTTATCAGAAAAGATGATCACTGAATGAGAACTATAAAATATATATTGATGTAAATCATGCTAAACATAAATTCTGTAAGTGGATGTAAGCAATACTTATGTAATATAAATAATAATAATAATGACAATAGTGACAATAAAATTCATAATAGTAAAGCAATAAAAAGATGAAAAAATGGCCTCATGTCAATGGCCAGTATTATTAATACAGAACCAACTGATAAGAAGTACAATAAAATTATGTTCATCTTCCAGAGGGAAACATTGTAACTAGAGATGAGCGAAGTATTCAAAAATTCGATTCGGCTGATTCGGCGAATTCGCGGAATAAATTCGATTCGAGTCGAATATATTCGCTGCGAATTTAACTTATAAAAAGGGTGTTTCTAGGCTTCAGAGAGCCTTTATATTAGTGCAGAACACTGTACCTTTAATTTAAATGCCCTTGGAGTCTGCTGGGGAAGAGAAATAATACTGTCAGTCAGTATGACATGCAGATGAGTGCCGTCGATCTTAGAATCACCGCACACTTCACTCATTTGGGCAGTCACGGGGCCAAAACCAGAGTGTGGAGCCACAGTGTGGCGGTGGAGGCAGCAGCAATGGGAGGCCATACAGCACCCTATGACAAAATGGAACCCACCAGCAGTGTGAGGAGACCTGAAAGTGGCACATGGCAGAGTGTGGCGATGGAGACAGCAGCAATGGGAGGCCGTACAGGGACCCATGAGACACTCTGGACCTGGCAGCAGCATGAGGAGGCGGTACGGGGGCCCATGGCAGATTACGGGCCTGGCAGCAGCAATGGGAGGCCCGTAATCTGCCAGCACCCTATGACAAAATGGAACCCACCAGCAGTGTGAGGAGACCTGAAAGTGGCACATGGCACAGTGTGGCGATGGAGACAGCAGCAATGGGAGGCCGTACAGGGACCCATGAGACACTCTGGACCTGGCAAAAGCATGAGGAGGCGGTACGGGGGCCCATGGCAGATTACGGGCCTGGCAGCAGCAATGGGAGGCCCGTAATCTGCCAGCACCCTATGACAAAATGGAACCCACCAGCAGTGTGAGGAGACCTGAAAGTGGCACATGGCAGAGTGTGGCGATGGAGACAGCAGCAATGGGAGGCCGTACAGGGACCCATGAGACACTCTGGACCTGGCAGCAGCAAGAGGAGGCGGTACAGGGGCCCATGGCAGAGTGGCGAAGCGTAAGCAGCTTAAATTGAAGGCCATACAGAGGCCTATGTTAAAAATAATAACATGTTTGGGGCATGATTCATGGCGGATTTAGTCAGTTGTGTCAGGAACTGGTGGTTTGAAATCCAGACTAATCCACGCCTGATTCATTTTCACAAACGTGAGTCTCTCCACACTTTGGGTGGACAGTCGTGTCCTCCGCGGAGTTACAATACCTCCTGCCGCACTAAACACGCGCTCCGATGCCACGCTACTACTGGCCGGGCATGTCAGCCTTTCAAGGGCAAATTCAGCTAGTTGGGGCCAAAGGTCAAGTTTCGTTGCCCAGTAGTCAAGGGGATTGTCTACCTCGGTTGGCAGGGTGCTGTCCAAGTAGGCCCAAGCCTGTTGTTTGAGGTCCTGCTCCAGGTCCACCTGATGCTGCTGCTGCTGCGGCTGGTTAGTAGTTTCCTCACTGCGCTGGTGAAGAAAGCTACTCATCATCGACTGCAGACTGAGCAGCCGCTGCTGGTGGAGCTGCCACTGCTCCTACCACCCCACCCCTCCCCTGCTGCCATGGCAGCGGAACGCGAGCGCACAGGGCCCACAGTGTCTGAGGATGGACGTTGGCGCAGAAAGGCAGAGACCAACTGACTACATAGGTGGATTTTATAGTACGTTATTTTGGCCTCCCTCTCAGCAGGTGTGAAAAAGGCCACCATTTTTGAACGGTAGCGAGGGTCCAACAAGGTGGACAGCCAAAAGTCATCCCTCTGTCTGATGGTTATTATTCGGCTCTCGCTACGCAAACAACCGAGCATGCTATGGGCCATTTGTGCCAAAGAATGCAAGGGACTCCCTGCCTCCATCTCCACAGCATACTGCCACGGTGCGTCTGGGTCCTCTGTCTCCTCCTCCTCCTCTACCAGATGCTCCTGCTCCTCC